CGAAAAGCCTACCTATAAAAACAATCGTGAAAATGACCAAACGTGACACAGCATTGTGGCCTACAGGTATTTCAAAGTTATCTCGACGCCTCACTTAACTGTATTAGAAAATTACCTACGTACCTCGGTTTAGTTTACATAATTACATTTATTCATATCACTTGAAAAGACCACACAATCGCCTTCAATTTGATATCAGCAACTCGAATATTTGACTTACGTTTAACACTTCTAAGTGTAAAGTAGTCCATCTGCGACATGTCGCAAACTACAGTTACAACTTAGGAATCTCTTCTCTAGTGGTATCCCAAGTCGAAAAAGATTTAGGAGTCCTGGTGCCCCATGATTTAAGGTCTTACGCTAACTGTGACAAAAATGCCTTCCGATAAAACCTTGCACTGGTAACGTTGAAGCGCGTTTTTGGACAGTTTGACGGACGAACTTTCCATACAATCTTCAATAGTTTCATCTGTCCCCATTTAGAGTACGGAAACATAGTACTCCCCCCCTCACTCCAAAAGGATAAGGTCACTTTGGAGCGTATCCAACGGCGAGCCACGAAATCAGTTCAAGGACTCAAATCTAAACCTTACGAAGAGCGCCTCCATTCACTAGACCTTTACCCATTAGAGTATAGGCGTCTTAGAGGTGATCTGCTGATGGCACCGCGCGATTTTCGAACGGGAAGTTTAGTCCTAACGTGATTTCCATATATCAAACTTTTGCTGTGTTCTTACGCAACAAAAGTACCATTTCAGTTCTAAAAAATCTATCCTGAGCTATACGTTCGGTAGATTACTTTTTTTTTGAGTTTCACTATATTTAATAGTTACCTGTGGTTTTGCCTCAGCTTACTATTCGGTTTTTTTGTTTTTCACGTATAGACTAGTTTCAGTTTATATCACTCGTTTTGTCCGTTTTTGTCCGTTTTCAGTGTGCATTTTAGTGTTTTTTTTAAAAAGGTCTTAAGCTTTTGCCAGCATCTATAACATAGTTTGCTTGAACACCGTCATGAAAAACTCATGCAAACGTCCGGGATGCCGTTTTGCTGTCACAACTGGCATGCAGTGTGACAACTGCAAAGGTTGGTTTCACGAAGCATGCACAAATCTGACAGCAACTGCTTACAACAAACTCAGCAAGTCAGACCAAAAGTGGGTATGTGTCACGTGCAACACGGACGCAGTAGTCTTGCTGAGTAACATCATTGTCCTACTGACAGGTCTTCGAAACAAGCTGTCAGTTAACTTGGAACACGACAGTAAAAAAACGGATATACAAACAAGAGCGCGCAACGGACTCAAAAATAGGGATGTCGATAGGTATGTCATCGATGGAGCATCCATCAACACTAACGACGACGTGTCGAGGCTCAGTACCATCATTACGTCGACGGTACTAGACTCCCTAGGCAAACTCGGGTCTCCCAGCTCAGGGTCGCTGAACACAACAGTGGTTCCCAAAAACCCTGCAGGCGATTCGACCCACGTTAAGAGAGCCCAAAAGAACCAGGCATCACCGCCTAAGCCGAGCAACCCAAGTGTTGCTGCACGGAAAATAACTGGTGATTTAGTCGCACAGTCTACCCCCAAGACTGTTCGTCCGGTCAATAAAGAGCCCAAGATTCATAAACGCACACTGACCTCCAAAAAACAAGTTATTAAACCTTAACCCATCGTGAAACCTGGTAAATTAACAACAGTTCGTGACGATTCTCTCATTATCATGAACCTCGTCGACAATCCTGACCTTCCTCTCAGTCTGCAGGATAAAAACGACAGGATGCTGTGGGGTGAATTGAACAAAAAGCTCGAACTTCCTAGAATAGAGCCTTTGACGGTCACCCGGCTCACTCGAGGAAAGGATTCTAAGCATCTAAATCACCCGAGGCTTCTCCGAGTAACACTTAAGAATGCTACCGACGTAGAGGACGTCTTGCTAGCAAGTCACTTACTGAAATCAGATGGTAACGTAAGAATATTGCCCGACATACCGTACTCTGAGCGCAATATCATACGAAACGTCCCTAAAGAATCTCGCGAGAAGTTCTTCCGCGGAAGAAACATAATTGTCCAAGGTATACCGGAAAATGCAGACCCTACTCAATCAAATTCTGACATCAGGGAATGGAAATTCATCAAACAGTCCTTGAGGCTCAAACACATACTGACTCAGCATGTGACGAGACTAGCCAAGAAGGACGGCGATCTTAGACCCCGTCTAATGAAGATAACCTTCCCATCTTCCCACATGGCGGCTGCAGTTCTGGAAGCATTTCGTGCTAATAGACGTCGATTGCCACCTGGAATTCACATGCACCCGGATAGGCCATACGAAGTTAGGACCAAGAACAAAGGCAAGTTGGAGCTGACCATTCCACTTGTGGACTGTCTAAACGATAAAAAAAACGTGTAAAGGACAGGGCCTACCACCTCGGCAAACCTCATATAGGTGGGCTACCTGTCCATTCACATAAGGTTCATACAGAAAAACAGGACGAAGCTCATGCGTTCCAAATTGAAAGCATAAACTGCTTATATACGAAGGCCGCGAGTTTACCAAACAAACTGGATGAACTACGTGAACTTAGCAACGCTAGCAAGGCCCATCTGATAGGAATATCTGAAACCTGGATATCTTCTCAGTTCTCGGATCAAGAGTTAGCATTACCTGGGATGACTTTGTTCCGCAACGACAGAAAAATAGGAATTGGGGGCGGAGTAGCCATATACATTAGCTCTTGCTTGGAGGTGCACCAGGTTCACAACCTCGAGTTTAACAATCTTGAGGAATCCATATGGTGCTCTGTAAGGTTGTCTAGTACTTCCAGGTGTCTAGTCGGAGTCATTTACAGGAAGCCAACTGCCGACACCGAGTACGATAGTCGTATGCTGGAAGGACTATCCCGCTCTATCCGTCTCGGTTTCACACACATCCTGATTCTAGGGGACTTTAATCTCCCCAGAGTCAACTTCGCGGAACACACGTACACTGGAGGCGACAACTCAACTGAAGCTCGGTTCTTCAACCTCATCGATAACTTGGGCTTATATGAAAATGTGAGGTCGGCAACTCGTTGGAGAAACAGTCAGACACCATCGCGCTTAGACTGTGTATTCACTAACGAAGAATTCCTAGTGGACAACCTCTCAATCCTGGCTCCTCTGGGAAAAAGCGATCATGCCGTCATAGCCTTCAGTTTTGTCATCAAAACTAAGCTAAGGTATCCCAACAATAATTTGCGATGGAATTTTAAACGGCTGAATGTGCCAGCTCTACATGACCATCTACAACAGGTGGCTTGGGATGTTCACCCTCAAATCGATGTGGATGGTCATTGGGACTTCTTGCTGCACACGCTCTTACGTGCTACAGACCATTCAGTTCCTCAAACGGTTCCCAAAAGCTTCAAGCCACCTACAGTAATCAAGAACCGTACCCTTCGCCTCCTAAGCCGCAAACGGCACTGTTGGGCGGAATACAAACGAGCTAATAACGATGGAGCGTATAAGCAATACAAACATATCAGGAACACATGCACGAAGGCTATAAGAGAAGACAGGCTTCAGTACCAAACAAAGCTTATGGACAAATTCGCCTCTAACCCTAGAAGCCTATTCCGTTATGCAGCCTCTCTTCGTCAAGCCAAAACAGGAGTTTCTCAAGTGCTAGGACCTAACGGCCCGACCAACAACGATGGTGACGCCGCCAACCTTCTGGCGGCCCATTACTCTCAAACATTTCAACCGGCTGATATCAACTTTATCGACGACAGTTTCATCTGCAATTCCACAGGACTTTCTGAAGTGGACCTAAGCGCTGACTTGGTGTTCCGGAAACTGCAGCACTTAAGACTTGACACTTCTCCTGGCCCGGATATGGTTCATCCTGCCATACTGAGGGAGGCAGCCTCAATCCTGGCAACGCCGCTTAGCGTGATGTTTTCACACTCGCTTAGCCGAGGCAAACTACCGGAAAATTGGAAGTTGGCTCACATCACACCAATTTTCAAAGGTGGTCGACGCAATGAACCTTCAAGTTACCGGCCGGTAGCTCTTCTGTCGTTACCTTCAAAACTCATGGAGTCCCTGATATGCGACGGTTTAAATGACTACCTACTGTCCTTAAATTTCTTCTCACCCCAACAGCATGGTTTCAGGAAGGGTTACTCTTGTATAACCAACCTGCTGACTGCGGTGGACAGATGGACAAGCATCCTCGATCGCAAGGGAAAGGTTGATGTCATTTACCTTGATTTCTCAAAAGCTTTTGATAAGGTTAACCACTTATGTCTTATCAACAAGCTCAAACGACTGGGTATCAAACCACCTCTAATCGACTGGCTTACTTCATACCTAAAAAATCGACACTTTAAGGTTAGGGTTAATTTCACTTTATCTCAAGCTATGGAATGTCCTAGTGGGGTCCCCCAGGGCTCAGTACTAGGGCCTCTTCTCTTCTTGATCTACATAAATGATCTTCCTCAACAGGTAACGTCAGACTTATTACTTTTTGCCGACGACGTGAAACTTTGGAGAGAGATACGCAACCAAGACGATATACAGGCACTTCAAGAGGATCTGACTCGACTTCATAGTTGGGCAGACGATAACGGACTTACCTTTAACACTTCTAAGTGTAAAGTAGTCCATCTGCGACATGTCGCAAACTACAGTTACAACTTAGGAAACTCCTCTCTAGTAGTATCCCAAGTCGAAAAAGATTTAGGAGTCCTGGTGCCCCATGACTTAAAGTCTTACGCTAACTGTGACAAAAATGCCTTCCGAGCAAACCTTGCACTGGTAACGTTGAGGCGCATTTTTGGTCAGTTTGACGGAAGAACTTTCCACACAATCTTCAATAGTTTCATCCGTCCCCATTTAGAGTACGGAAACATAATACTCCCCCCCTCACTCCAAAAGGATAAGGTCACTTTGGAGCGTATCCAACGGCGAGCCACGAAATCAGTTCGAGGACACAAATCTAAGCCTTACGAAGAGCGCCTCCGTTCACTAGACCTTTACCCACTAGAATATAGGCGTCTTAGAGGTGATTTATTAATGGCTTATAGTATTCTTAACACTTCTGGACATCCTCTTAAACACCTACTTAAGCTTAGTTCGAACAATAACCTAAGGGGTAACACCCAGAAACTGGAAACACAACATAGCAAGACGGAATGTAGACACAACTTCTACTCCTTAAGAGTTGTCAAAAGCTGGAACTCGCTGCCGGCCGAGCTAGTCCAAGCGACTTCTCAGGAGTCCTTCAAGAGGCAACTTGACCTATTCTTAAGGACCAAGGACAGCATCGCACTATGATTTACCAATTTCTTTTCCTCTTTTATTGTTAACATACCTAGGTTCCTGCCTGGAGGATTTGGTGATCCCCTGCTACTAGACACGGAAGCCTGTTAAGCGAAAGCTTCTTCTATTCCGTCCACAACCATTTGAACCATTTTGAATCCTTAACACTTCTGGACATCCTCTTAAAAATCTACTTAAGCTTAGTTCGAATAATACCCTAAGGAGTAACTCCCAGAAACTGGAGACACAACATAGCAAAACGGAATGTAGACATAACTTCTACTCCTTAAGAGTTGTCAAAAGCTGGAATGTGCTGCCGGCCGAGCTAGTCCAAGTGACTTCTCAGGAGTCCTTCAAGAGGCAACTTGACCTATTCTTAAGGACCAAGGACAGCATCACACTATGATTTACCAATTTCTTTTCCTCTTTTATTGTTAACATACCTAGGTTCCTGCCTGGAGGATTTGGTAACCCTTTGCTACTAGACACGGAAGCCTGTTAAGCGAAAGCTTCTTCTATCCCGTCCACAATCATTTGAACCATTTGTACCGTTTAAAACATATTGAGAATTGGATGTCGTTTTTATTCTTTTTCATTCAAATTTTTGAATGTTAGAAGGTGATATCGTAGGAAAGGAGTAATAAACCAAGTAATGCAACTTAATGCTGAATACGCTAGAGAACTAAGGGCAGTGTTCAAGATTCTAGAGTTTTCCATTGGTGTTAGTCTCATAGTATCAATAATTGTTGCTGATCACTATCGAATTACTGCGACTGGTGGACTTTTAGCATTCTTTGCACTAGTTGGGGCACTCATATCACTATTTTTCTTCGTTATTCATCTATGTGGCCTCATTTACAAAATTCGAGGGCCTGTTACACTGATTGTAAGTCGCTTTTGAACCTTATTTATGTCGTCAAATTGGCTTACACCTCCTTTATTGATTCTTTTAAATCTTGACAGTTTACATAATCATATTTTAGAGTAAATGAACTCTTGTACAACCGAGTGCTTTTAAAGTGTAGGCTATAAATCATTTGTTATGGTGCGACTCTATACGACTTTGTGTTTAAATTTATAAGTTTATTTTAAAACATTGATAATTTAAGAGTTGTTACACGCAGTACACACTTTTAATGATGTTTTTGTTGACTAACACAATTTTTGCCGTATTTCGAAGAAGAAGAAACGGTCAATCAAGTCCCACATGTACCTCGCAAAAGTATGCTTTGTGAGATTTATCGGGTGGATGTCGGTCTAAAATAGCTCCGAGTAGAATATTTCACAAAGTCAGCATTCATTGTTTTATAACTTTGTGTTAAAGATTTTTAATTTTAAGTTAGTAACCTGTTTAGTTTTAACCAGTTATAGTGGTTTGTATCAAAACCTGAAACATGTCTATGTCAACCATCTTCACAAACGGATCTATCCTTCATCTAAATACATAAAAAGCATTCGTTGTTACTGGTCGTTGAGTTCAGTGATATTATTCGTTTTGGTCTGCTGGTGAAATTCGCTAATCATTCAGCGAACAAATCGTTCCAAATTTTCAAACTATTCTACTACGTTTTCATAAATTAGCTGCTTTAAAACATTTATATAAGTAAAAAATACAAGCTAAATTGACTTTTAAGGGGCTTTAATACGAATAAAGAAGTGTTTGATCAGGCCATACACACTGATTTTGTCTTACTCTGAAGTTTTATCGAAATTGTGTGTGGCATATTAGCAAACAAAACCATCCAACATTCCTCTAAACTAATCTCAGACTGATGATTTCTACTAAATTAAGTTATTTGATTCAAGAGTGATCAAAACCTACTTCTTACTAAATGTTAATCAATTTTTGAAATAATTTGTTTTGATAGCTAATACTCTCACTCAACTATCATCTACCATATTTACTGTAATTTGCGGAAAATTAAAGTTTCAAGATTTCTATGAACAGCAACTTGCAAAAGCACATATTTATTTCGTTATAATTCTTCAAACTACTCATGTATATTTCCAATTTTTTCTGAGAACATTACACATGGCTCTCTAGCCTGGAACATAAATTGATGATGTTGTTGAAGGTGCCACATCTATTTATAGTTTGATAACGCTTTAACCAGTAACACCTAATAAATCTAACCCGATAACATGCGTTTTGCAAAACAGGCTGTAATACCAAGGCCAAATAATGTATGACAGCACAAGTACGTTCAGTAAACGTTCCAGTTATCATAGTCTAAGTAGATTTTGTATCAATTAAAAGTAATCATAATTATAGCTCAAAAAGAATAAAACTTAAATATGCAATATAAAGCAGACTTGATGCTTTTTAAAACCGCACTTGAATAACTCATTTCAAGGTTATGGTTTTAAATGTTATTAGCCTAATGTTAAGATAGATTAGGACAATGGTTGAGCCTGAGATTTGGAGGATGTGTTTTTAAGATATATTCTCTCTTCTACTAGATTAATACTACCAGTAACGGTGAAGTCATGCACAAGAATTTAGCTAGAGGCTGTGATTTAATTAGTACACTTCCAAAATTTAATTGACTACGGGACATCATTTCTTATATCTGGCTACAACTAGCTCACATACAAAATACTAACTGCCACAGGAGTCGGTGCAGAGGAACCCAAAGTAAGGCATCTGTCCCTAAGATTATTGACTGTCTGAGTGCTTACAACTGAGAATGAGGGTTCACAAGAAAATATCAGTCGATAGCTGAACATATTGGATTTTATGGTTTTTAACGGACCTCAATGATTTACTTGAATTTATTATTATTTTACCTAAATATCGAAATTAAACGTGGAGCGTTTTTCATTCTGTGTTTTCGCTCGTTTCATTTGAACCCTCACTTTTATGTTTGGATTTTTCCTTCAGCTTGAAGCTATCAGCATTCTCTATGAAAAGCGTAAACTGGCGTGACCACGAAACTGCTATTAGCAAAATAATATAGTAAAGTAATAGTACAACAAAGTATGAAACTGGCAGATTAAGGTAGACATCCGTTTGAACTCACTGAACAATAGGCCGAAAATTAGATAAACGATAAAAGTAGAGAAAAAACAGACTGATTATTGGCCCGGTCTTGGGTGTGGTTATTGAAATAATAATTAACACACTTAGAGGAATAGTTACACTGGTTCTTAGTTATTTACTATTAAGACTGTGTGGAGGTAAACAACTTTACATACCTGGAAATCATGGGTGATGTTGCCAAAAATCGCTGGCAGTACAGCGAAATCCCATCTTTTTTAAGACATCGAGTTTAAATATCATTTTTTAGCTTTGAATTTTTGAAATTTTTATTTATTGTAAGTTATACCTTTTGTGTGTGATTTTCCGTTTGCACTGAAATTATTATTTCGAAACTTGCGCCTTACATCTTATTTGTTTCCTGTACCAAAAATAGTGTGTTTGACTGGTACATATTTGTATAGTATCCTAATGTATTTACAACTGACTTGGCTACAAGGATGTTACAACTTTTGTGTCTCATCACTTTTGCTTTTGTTGATTTGGCTGTATACACGTGTATTCGGTGCATGAGGTCAAACTTCAATGTTCTCAATCTGTTTTTTACAACACAATGCAATTGCTTTCTACATCCCAATAGACAACCAGCTGTTAATAGTGTGAATTGTAGAACATATGTACATTGATTCAATTTCCCACCCCATATCAAGCTGCTCTTGCTGGACTGCTTATGTCTTTAGGTATTAGCATATTGGGTATGTATTCTGGAGAAGGGCCAGACTAAAGTCAGCAAGCCTGTATCCTATGTCTGATAAATACTGTTATATATACAGACTTACGTTGGTTGTAAATTGTTTTGCCCAGATTACTATTATTTACAGATTTCTTACAAAGGAAATAGGAGATTAGAATAAGTCAGCCCACACAACTGAACACCTCACCATGACCCACAAATTTCTACCTTTGTTAGTAACGTTTTTAAACAGTGAAACTAAAAAACAATGGGCTACTCACCAAATGAATGTTTGTGAATATCTTTAAGTTATTGTCCCCCAGGAACTTTGGTCACACTTCCAGCTTTGCATGAATACCTCTAATTGTGTTTCTGCTCTGGGTCCTTCAAAAGTACATACGTATATAGCAGAGTGTTCTAGCCACTTGTGGGTATTAGATAAATAAATAAAAAAATGTTTCGTTATAGTTCAAGTCGTTGTTTTTATTTGAATTAATATCTGTCTTGATCTATCAGTTTCATTTCATAGAATCAGTTATCAAATTTAGTCTTGTAAGCAGCTATTGAATTTAGATACACTAAATGATACAACGATATATATACATATATATAATCAGATATCTTTAGGAAATATGTACTAGGTTACAAACACACATAAACAGATGGAAAACTGAATACCACTATAATATTAATTAATATAAACATGAAAGTTTCACCGAATGTCATTCATTTCCTCTAGTGCTTCAAGGTTTTGTCTCCATCTGTACAATTGAACTTGCATTGCACAGAGAACATCAGTTCCCTCAAAAATTTCTTAAGTACCTGACGATTACCAACCAGTATCAAATTAAGATTAGAGATTTTCTATTGTTCACTATCAACTATTTAAAATGATTCATTCAGTAAAACTATAGACATTAAATACAATTATTTATCAATTCTGTTTTACAGGCATAAAACAATAAATTTCGCACAATTTTAATGTGTCAACTTATAATGTTTGTGTCCACAAATTCTATTTTAATGCATAAACGATATGCCTGTTGTAAATCTAGTCCTTTAAGTCGTGTTAGTATTTTATACATCCTGAAATAATGCATTCAGATTGATTCATTTTTTTATGAAGCAGAACATCAGTAACCAGCTATTAAGTTTAAGATTAACAAACAGGTGGCAGTTTTTATTGCTTTATTACAGTGAAGATAGACAATAGCTTAAGTAACTTACCTAGTTTTGCAAAACAAATATCTAGACCCGGTATTTTTAACGAAATTAGGTTGCGGCCACCGCTGAAATTGAGGGCATGCCCTTCATCTTATTTAAGAACTACCATGTGGATTTAGCTGTACCCGTGTTGTTATTCATCTAGTGACTTGAACCAAGCACGTTTTTCTTTGAATGCCCAATATGAAAGGCATGTAGCCTGAGCCCTGGAATGAACATAGTTTCTGCTTTAATAACAAAAAGATAGCAACCTATCCACATTAGTCCATTTATGTTGATTGACATTTTAATGAGTGTTTCTTATCAATAAATGACACCTGATTCATTGTTCTGTATTGTTAACTTCACTATCTTAAACAGGTATAGTACAAGACAGATGTAGATCTTGAGAAATTTAATAAAATCAAGTAGTTTGTTCAAAAATTTACAGGATTTCTCATGAAAGATTCCATATTTATTTGATCATAACTGTCTAGTAGTAGTCAATATGGCACTTAAAAATCTTGTGAGAAGATAGTAAGTCAAATTTTATGGTAATTTTGTTAGTCAACTACAAGTATTCTAGAGTTCACTTGACACAACTAATGACAACCAAGCTGTCTAGAAAAAACAGCCCATAAAAAACTAAACTTAATTCAAAATACCAGTTAACTGATAGAAAGTACTAGGTGACTCATTTTATAAATATATTCAAGTCATTTGTTTTGTTAGTTATTCTCTTCGTTATATTTTAAAAGTTTCCACCTTAATCAAGTTAGCTTGTTGCATTAAAATGCTACATTATGGATCATAAGAATTACTAACCAGAAAATATAAACCAACAACTTACGTTAGTTACTAAAAATATAAACAGAATTAAGGACTGATGTAAATTTTCATTAGATATTAATTTAAATTTACCCATTAATTTGGAAGACGATTTATTCAATGAAGAAATCCTTTGCGGTGAGCT